CAGAAACTGAGCGGCGTCCTGACCAGCATCTACACAGCACGCCGGCAGCAAATGAAGCGAAAAAATAATACACTAATTTGCATTATTATGGGACCCGTGAGGCCGACAAGAGAAAATAGCCTCTGAGACGCTAATGAGGAAAGATAAGGGCAGGTTAACATGGGGTAATGAGATACAGCATGTGCCATCCCTTCAGTTGATACCCAGACCTAACACTTATCATTCAAACTTCACCTTTTGACTGCAGTTGGGATCAAATCAACATGGAAGAAAAACAGGAAGAAAACAATGAAGAAAGAAGAAAGGAAAGGGGGGAAAGAGAGTGACAACATTAAAAATGGAGAAAGAAGAAGAAGAAGTACAAGGAGAGGAAGGGAAAACAGAAGAAGAAGATGATGATGAGAGGAAGAGGGAGGGAGTTAACAGGAAGAAGAAGAGAAAATGAAATAATAATAAGATGGCGATGGATGGAAGAAGAGAAAGGGGAACAATGGATGGAAACAGGAAGAGGAAAAAGTGAAGAGGAAGGAAGGAAGGAAGGAAGGAAGGAAGGAAGGAAGGAAGGAAGGAAGGAAGGAAGGAAGGAAGGAAGGAAGGAAGGAAGGAAGGAAGGAAGGAAGGAAGGAAGGAAGGAAGGAAGGAAGGAAGGAAGGAAGGAAGGAAGGAAGGAAGGAAGGAAGGAAGGAAGGAAGGAAGGAAGGAAGGAAGGAAGGAAGGAAGGAAAGAAAGAAAGAAAGAAGGAAGGAAGGAAGGAAGGAAGGAAGGAAGGAAGGAAGGAAGGAAGGAAGGAAGGAAGGAAGGAAGGAAGGAAGGAAGGAAGGAAGGAAGGAAGGAAGGAAGGAAGGAAGGATGGATGGATGGATGGATGGATGGATGGATGGATGGATGGATGGATGGATGGATGGATGGATGGATGGATGGATGGATGGATGGATGGATGGATGGATGGATGGATGGATGGAAGGAAGGAAGGAAGGATGGATGGATGGATGGATGGATGGATGGATGGATGGATGGATGGATGGATGGATGGATGGATGGATGGATGGATGGATGGATGGATGGAACAAGAAGATGAAGGAAGGGAATGAAAATGAGAAAATGAAATATAAAGGACGGAAGGAAGGAAGGAGGAAGGGAATGAAAATGAGGAAGGAAGGAAGGAAGGAAGGAAGGAAGGAAGGAAGGAAGGAAGGAAGGAAGGAAGGAAGGAAGGAAGGAAGGAAGGAAGGAAGGAAGGAAGGAAGGAAGGAAGGAAGGAAGGAAGGATGGATGGATGGATGGATGGATGGATGGATGGATGGATGGATGGATGGATGGATGGATGGATGGATGGATGGATGGATGGATGGATGGAACAAGAAGATGAAGGAAGGGAATGAAAATGAGAAAATGAAATATGGATGGATGGATGGATGGATGGATGGATGGATGGATGGAACAAGAAGATGAAGGAAGGGAATGAAAATGAGAAAAGGAAGGAAGGAGGAAAGGAAGGAGGTATGGACGAGACAAAAGAGGAAATCAAATCAACACTGTGTGGCATTAAAAAGGCTTGCGTGAAAGAAAGTCATGATCTCAGCACTTGGTTGAGATCACATCCAGGTTACTGGCATTCCTCACTTTCCTGAATCCCCGGAACGCAACAGCCCATACAGACATAAGACAGCAACACACAGATGGGGTTCTACTTTCTCTTAACCTCAGTAAACAACTACTCAAGACACCCAAGAGTTTTTGACACTGGTTTGATGTTCACATTGTTCCACCAGAGATTACAGCCAGTCCCGCTCTCAGAACAAAACCATTACACCATCTTACCCATAAAATATCTCAAATGCAAACTGCCAACATTGTCCATTGTAAATGGGCAACTAATCAGAGTAACAAAGTAGTAAGATTTGTCCATGTGTAACAAAGTCCACCCGGTTTGAGCTTTCCAGACACTCAATCCTGCGACAGCTTGGCCTTTAGACAGGTGTTCAATCACACAACCTGAGGACGAGGAGCAGGGCAACAATAGAGAACGTGGGAAATGGCGTTGTGTGTCGAGAGAGGATGAACGGCGTGTGATACGTGTCTTTGGACCGGAGCCATGGTAATTACTTCACTGGGGGTTGCTGGGTTGGCATCATCTCACGCTCTTTCGGTCGAAGTGTTTGCCAACAGTGCCAGTAAAAGTGACTACACCAGCTGTCCAAACACGAGGAGGGGGTTCGACCGGAGACCCTGCGCATGTATTTCAAACTGATTGCAATGTCTCTATATTCTACCAGCATTGTCCATGTGCTAAGAGCACCGCTTAAAGGAACAGTTCATCCTGAAACGAAAAGGATTTTCAAGCCAAATGATGGAAAAGCTCCATAAAAGTATTATAAAATTGATCCATATGACTTAATACTGTTCAATGTCTTAGTGTGAAGGAAAGACCAACATTTCGGTGAAAGACCTTGTACACCTAATGGTTGAAAGATAAGGGGGTGTCGTGTATCAGGATGATAATGCACTAATACACACAGCAAGACTTGTGACAGAATGGTTTGATGAACATGGAAGTGAAGTTGATCTCCCAAGGCCTGCACAGTCACTAAATCTGAGTATTATTGAGCCATTTGGGGGTGTTTTGGAGAAGCGAGTCAGAAAACGTTTTCCTCCACCAGCATCACAAAGTGGCCTGGCCGCTGTTCGGATGGACGGATGGAACAGGAAGAGGAAAAAAGAGAAAATGACAAAGGAAGGAAGGAAGGAAGGAAGGAAGGAAGGAAGGAAGGAAGGAAGGAAGGAAGGAAGGAAGGAAGGAAGGAAGGAAGGAAGGAAGGAAGGAAGGAAGGAAGGAGGAGGGAGGGAAAGAAGGAAGGAAGGAGGGAGGGAAGGAGGGAGGGAAGGAAGGAGGGAAGGAAGGAAGGAAGGAGGGAAGGAAGGAGGGAAGGAAGGAGGGAAGGAAGGAAGGAAGGAAGGAAGGAAGGAAGGAAGGAAGGAAGGAAGGAAGGAAGGAAGGAAGGAAGGAAGGAAGGAAGGAAGGAAGGAAGGAGGAAAGGAGGGAAGGAAGGAAGGAAGGAGGGAGGGAGGGAGGGAGGGAGGGAGGAAGGAAGGAAGGAAGGAAGGAAGGAAGGAAGGAAGGAAGGAAGGAAGGAAGGAAGGAAGGAAGGAAGGAAGGAAGGAAGGAAGGAAGGAAGGAAGGAAGGAAGGAAGGAAGGAAGGAAGGAAGGAAGGAAGGATGGATGGATGGATGGATGGATGGATGGATGGATGGATGGATGGATGGATGGATGGATGGATGGATGGATGGATGGATGGATGGATGGATGGATGAAGAAGATGAAGAAAGGGAATGAAAATGAGAAAATGAAATATGGAGGAAGGAAGGAAGGAAGGAAGGAAGGAAGGAAGGATGGATGGATGGATGGATGGATGGATGGATGGAAGGATGGATGAATGGATGGATGGATGGATGGATGGATGCTAGAGGAAAAAAGAAAGACGAAAAAGGAAGGAAATCTCAAAGATGGAATAGAGGAAAAAGTGAAAAGGATGGTTGGATGGATGGAATAAAGGAAATGAACAGGAAGAGGAAAAAGCGAAGAGGAAGGAAGGAATCAAGGGAGGAAAGCCACCGGCATCATGATATCGTGACTCGGCTGCTGTTCTGGAAAGGAACGGCTCAGTCCCTCTGGCCGCTGAGCAGGACTCGCATCTGTCATTCCCAAGAACAACTAATTCTGTATCGGCCGTCTATGTGGTCTAAAACTCAAATCCATCACTGTTTACTGTCCTCTCGGGCTGGGTGGCCTGCGTTGTCATCCCGTAGACTCAAGCACTGATACACATTTATATATCAAATTAATTTGGGTTTGCCTCCCTCTTACTTACAGCAGCATCTCATTCAAAAAGGTGTAAAGAATTAAGGTCTTCGTTCAAAAGATTATTGTCTTTTAAACATCCCGAAAGTGCAAACAAATATGGGTAATGCCGGGGACACACTTAACAACTTAGTGTGTGTGTGTGTGTGTGTGTGTGTGTGTGTGTGTGTGTGTGTGTGTGTGTGTGTGTGTGTGTGTGTGTGTGTGTGTGTGTGTGTGCTATCACTTTAGTTTTTAAGGTTAGGGCCACCCGACAAGCTTGCTACTATTAGTTTTTCACACATGCTTAATGAAAAAGAAATTATGAAATTCTAGCTAGTTCTCATCCTCATGTCTCAACAACAGCAGGGGCTAATGGGTTCACGGATATATTAATAATGGAATAATATATGCTAGTGTGATAGCTACAAGCTGTTAACCTGTGAGCCAAGAGAGTTTAGATGACATCTACACATTAATAAAGAAAGATGCTTATGTTTCACCAGAGGCATTATATTTTTACAAGTCACAAGTTCACAACTGAAGCATATGTGCGGGGCAGTCAGTATGATGTCAAATTAACAATATCTTATGTTTAGCTGTCACAATCAATATATATATATATATATATATATATATATATAAATAAGTGATCAGATTCCTAAATGCTGTGCAGCTTCTCAATTACCTGCGCTTATCATTTTCATTAATATAGTTCTCAGCAGTCAATACTACAGCTTTAAACACCACATCCATGTTATGACTTACTGTACAAATACTGATTAGGGTATTAAACAAAATAAATAAATCCTAACATAAATTGATTAAACAGGTTCAAATGCACCTAAAGATGAAATTTTCTAGATTTAAACGTTTTACACTAAACAACATGTAAGAATGAAATCAAATGTATCAATATACCAATTTATATATTAGTAATAAGCAATGTTCACTTGTATACATACTGAACAAAAACATTTAAATTCAGGCAACCTGGTTTCTGTGAACAATTTATGTGAAAAGTAATCAAAATTGTTGCTTATAACCGATTCTCAGATTTGTTATAAATGAAGGTGACTTGACCTAACCTAGTAATATTATTGTTTCTACCGTATATTGGAACGGATTACACCAGAGAAGTGGTGTGCAAATAAAACTCACCAGAACAGGCATCATCAGGTCTGCAATGTACACAAACAGAGCTCCGAGTGTGAAACCCACAGCAACGGGGATGAACGCAAAGTCCCCATATTTCCCAGATTCCTCGGCCATCTCAATAGCAGGAGCCAGCAGGGACCAATAGGAGGCCGCCAGCATGACCTGAGGACCGAGAGACACGGTTAACCACAACACATTTCACTCTTACACACCAAAACACAACAATTACACTCTTAAAAATAAAAGAACAATGAACCTTTATTTAGATTTGATTCGAAAAATCTAAATAACCCTTTTTTCCACTATAAAGAATCTTTTATGGAATGGATGTTAAAGGGAGAGTTCACCTAAAAATGAAAATGCTGTCAGTAATTACTCTCCCTCATGTTGTTCAACCCCGTAAGACTTTCGTTCATCTTCAGAACACAAATTAAGATATTTTTGATTAAATCTGAGAGCTGTCTCACTCCTCCATAGGCTTCTATCGTAATTGAAACGTGCGGCCAGGAAAAGTTATTAAAGACATTGTTATGTGTTTGTCAGGTTAAAAAATGTTTTTTGATATATTAAATAAGGGTTAGATGTCTGAGTGAAAATGTAATTATCATTAAAATTATTACTGTAATTGCCCTACAGTAAGCTTTATAGCCATTTCTGTCAAGATCATATTTTTAAAACACAGCTGAGCTGTGACGTCAGAAGAGGGAGACGTGCCAAAAAAGTTCTATTCAAGTATGGAGAGTTTTGAGTCTAAGGAGATCCAAAATCCCCCTCAAACCTACGATGGCCCACACTGTCATACAATTTTGAGCCTCGCAGGCGTGAGACAGATGAGGAGCCAAACAGAAATTTAGATAATTCCTATCGAAGAAACATAAATATCTGGTGTGAAGAGAAACAGTGGAGAGTTGGGCAGGTAGGCATAACTTAGAGGTGGAACGGTACATGTATTCGTATTGAACCGAAACGGTACGGGCGTCACGGTTCGGTGCATGAATATAACCGAGTATAAAAATAAATAAAACTCGCGTGCAAATTAATTAATGCGGAACTACTGTGATAGGCGGGTTATTTAGGGACACATAATCTGTAGCTCCGCCTTAGCTCTGAAGCTCCGTGGACCATGGCTAACGTTATATTGAACAGGCTGCGATGTCAAGATTGCAATGCTGGAATATGTTGGTGTGTGTGTGTGTGTGTGTGTGTGTGAAGCAGCACTGAAGTGGAGAGAGAGAGAAAGAGACGCGGGCGCGATCGAACAGTGGAACATAAAAACTGGAAGAAATGTGCGCTGCAAATGACCGAAGTCTTGGATACCGAAGCAGCACTGAAGTCAGAGCGTTTGGTCCGAACAAAGTTGACCCAGGCACGAAACACAGACCTGCTTTTTGGGAAAAAGTGGACTCTGTGACCGGTTTTAACGGTGTTTTTGCACGCAGCACAAACTCAGTAATTCACCATCGTGAAAATACGCCTGCGTATACCTAACTAAATACCTAACTTTAATAGCTAACTAAATAAATAAATGTCCTAATCACTAATTATCTCACTCTATCACTCGTACAATTATCAACACAGCTCACAAACTCACTCTCTCAGCGACCTGGGGAGACGTTTCCCTCTTATGACGTCAAGCGATCCGTTTGGGCGGAGGAGCAGTTTTAAGTGAGTACTGAAAATAACGAACTTTTTCATCTTATTAGCCTTTAGGTATCGAAAATCATACAAAACAATACAACAACTTGTAAAACGTGCATTTCCCCTAACTATTTTGCGTTAATCATAATTACAAATTTAACCTGACATACGCACTTTAAGTTTATAAAGCGACGAGAAAAAACAAAAAAAAAACGACTACCGTAAAACATCAAATAATAGCCGAGTCCCAAATAGACGCCTGTCTCTTTTACACGGCTGGTGTGGCTGCAGGTTTGGATAAATAAAGGCCGGTCTCAAATAGAGGCGGGGTCTGTTTTTTAGTTTCGGGTTGTATTTAATCTTCTAAAACCCGTCAGATTGTCTGCTTTTTGGCGGTCGCCAAAACAAATTTGTGTCCCGCCAAACTAAAGCCTTTTTTGATCGGTGAGTGATGTAGAATGACTGCGCTTGACAGGCCGCAAACAAGCAGGGAGAGCGTCCCGGCCGCGCGTCTTCAAACAACACGAGCGCATATTAATCAAAATCAATTGACACGGTAGTAAAAGGTCGGAAGACCGCAGTTTCACGTGGAGCATTTGGAGATTAGAGACTCTAGGAACAAAATCTCAATGAACAACATCTCAACACTAAATTATAAAGGCCTGTCTCATATAGTCGCCTGTCTCAAATACAAGTTGGTGCAGTTTGACGATTTGGGAAAATAAAAGCCCGGGCTTTTATTTTCTTCAATACCGTAAGTTTTACGGTATTCAACTATTAATTTTCTTCTGTGTGGGCCTCGAGTGAGTTCACGTAGTGTAACAGCGCAGCGCTTCTGTGTTGTACGTCACACGTAGGCTCACTATTTCAGTTCTGACGTAGCGTCTTACGGGGTTGAACAACATGAGGGAGAGTAATTACTGACAGATTTTTCATTTTGGGGTGAACTAACCCTTTAAAGGTTTGTCCTGGAACCATCAATACCAATTAAAGGGGTGGTATAATGCCCTTTTCACAAGATGTAAAATAAGTCTCTGATGTCCCCAGAGTGTGTGTGTGTTAAGTTTTAGCTCTAAATACCCCACAGATATTCTTATATAGCATGTTAAAATTGTCACTTTTTGAGGGCGAGCAAAAACGCACCGTTTTTGCGTCTGTCTCTTTAAATGTAAATGAGCTGCTCCTCCCGGCACAGGGGGCGGAGCTACAACCGTTTGTGTCCTTTTACCTCACACACACATGCACTGACAATGTCAATGTTTATGTTCAAACCGGAGTCAGACAATAATGGAGAGACTCAAGAAGAAGTGACACAACATGTAGAAGCAACAGGACATTTCTGAATGTTGATTTGATGAATTTAGGTAGCTTATGTGTAGTTATCTTCTAGTCATTGATTAGCATATTCGGCCATGATAATCTATGAATCGCATTCCCGGGGGAGGGGTTTATGTAAATTTTAGGGTTGGTGATGTCACTAACCCGTGAGGAAGCTCGTGTAGTTCCTACCAGCCGTTTGTTGTAGTCCTTAAACTATTTCTAAGCAAATATCTCCCTTTGCTTTGAACTTTGAGTGTTGTAACTTTGCAGATGTTGTTTATGCTCAAACAGCAACATTACACACTAACTAAAATTAAAAAAGTGAAATCATAATCAACCACCCCTTTAAGAACCTTTATTTTTGTTCACTGTCATGTGCAAAACACAGCTAGTTTAACCCTATACAAAGCCTACTGTATCATATTTGATTCGCAAATTTCTAGGGCCTCTAACATGATCAAAAGTTTGCTGATAGACCTGTCGCACACAATCTACTGCAGTCCTTCTGTCGTCTGATTGATAGTTTAGACTTTTTAGTATGTAAAAGGTCTTTGGGTGTAAATGTAAAAAAAAAAAAAAAACAGTACCTTTTATATAGTTAATAATATTTCAAGATTACCACTTACTGGACTGAAGCAACTCGGTTTACTTGATTATCAATACCTAATTTTTTAGAAAAAGCATGTTCAAATGTGAGTCTCAAATATGATCATCAGGCTTTTGGGGAAGGTTTATTTATTCATCACTGTATTGCATTGCATTATATGTTTTAAAACTACAGAGCTTTGATCATAAACTAAGCATTTAAATATCATCTTAAGACATTATTGGCAGATATTGATATTTATATGCATTTTATGCAAGTATCTGCTATACTGTTATAAATATCTCATTGATTTACATTACAAGCATCAGAATTTATTTTTGTCCATGCAAATATCCACTCTTTTTTTTTTCTCCACATTCTTACCATTTCATACGATACGAGCCATAAAAGGCTGATGCATTGAATATGATATAAAACATGCATGCAAACTTTTTCATCTGAAGTTACAATAAACTGTTCCATTTAAAATAAAAGATACGTCAGGCTTTACAGGGTTAAATTGGATTTTCCAGAGGGGATACTTATTGTTCACAAATGTGTCTTAATATTGTCAGTATCATCCTCACGCTAATGATAAGCTAAAACAAGCCTTTGTTGGATATGGAGAAGAGCAGATCAGTGATCAGAGAGGAGAAGATGCAGCATTATGAAGCTTATGTCTGACAGGGAAGTAAAACTCTTCTTCAAAGAGACCGAATGAATATTAGATGAGAGGAAAAGGCATGGGGGGGGGGGGGCTTTATCATCTGCAATAGAACACTGAAGAAATTAATGTGCGAGATCTATTTTTCAGTCCTTTTGAACTTTTTGCAATTCAATTTCAATTTGGATTTTTTTTTTGATTAATCACTTCAGATGATCATTTCTGATTTGTAAATGTGCCAGAGAACTGGAATATAGCACACTGCTTAAGTATGCAACAACAAACATTTCTGAAGTTATGTTTACTACTCGAATACTGTTTAGTTGGGGCAATATTATTGATCTGCCTGCATTAACACCATTACATGAGAACTGAGCTGGACGATGACATCACTTTTCTCCAAAATGATAATTAACTAAATTAATATTTTTTTTACAACAGAAATTAACCATCTTACTTGGTATTTTTTTGACTATTTTCTTCCGGTTCTGCTGTACATCTTTGTTGCATTATTTTCCAGTAAAGCTGCTTTAAAACAATCCGTTTTGTAAAAAGCGCTTTATAAATAAATAAAGGCAACTTGCCTTCAAAAAGGTGACTTGAAATAAAAAAGATCATATTTATGCTCATATGTTACTGAGACACAAAAGATAGTTGAGTTATGATGTTTTCTAATTGTATGCTTTTATTTTGTGGTCTGACAATAAAATCAGCTTAAAACACGTTCGATACAGTATGCAAATCTTCCAAACTACAGTTTGCATAAGAAGAGTTTTTAATTATTCATGATTGGAAAGTGTGGTACAAAACCCTCAAGCAGAAAAGAGCAAGTTCAAAATCACGATTTTTTTTTTCTATGCTGTTCAACACTTTTGGCCAAAACATGATCAAAGACTTGTTCATTCATCCTGTAGGCACCCTGGTGATGATATCAGGACCTGAAGGAAGACACCA